CGAGACGAGGGGCGGAGTGTGTTCGGCATAAATTGCAGGGTGTGCGGGGCTCACCCCGCAGCAGCCGGTGCTGCTCACATGAGGGGCCCTTCAGCGCACGCATGAGCACCCCAGGCTCTTCCACTTCTGCGCCCAATTCCTTCACGCGTCAGCACCCAATTAACACACACATGAGCTCACAATTAATTTACATATGAGCACCCAGCTGGATTTATGCATGGCTGCCCAGTGAATTCCCGCTGGATCGAGCGCTGCTGCTCCGTGCATGAGCACCCTGGTGGTTGATGCATGAGTGCCCAATTAATTGGCGCACGTGCCTGCAATTAGCTCACGCCTGAGTGTCCAATTCTTGCGCCAGCACCTGATGCATTCACACCTGAGTGCCCAATTAGTGTGCACAAGTGTGTTATCTCCTAATTACACTAATTTACACATGAGTGCCCAATTAGCTCGCACAGGAGTGCCCAGCGAATGGGCGTGTGACTGCTCAATTAATCCGTGAATTCGTGAATGCCCACAAAAATGGATGCGTGAGCCCCCAGCTGGTTCGTTCGTGAGTGGCCCTTTCACTCTCGCCGCAGCACCCGGGCAGTTCATGCATGAGCACCCAATTAGCTCACCTGGAGGCGCCCAGATAATTTATGCATGAGTGCCTAATTAGTCCACGCATGATCGCCCGGGGTGTTTTTGCATGAGTGCCCCTCTGGCTCAGGCATGGGTGCGTAAATACCCCGTTCCTTCACGCCTGAGCACCCACTTGGCTCACGCAGGAGCGCCCATTGTGGGTGTCTGATTTCCCCCAGCCTGGGCGCTGCTCTGAGCGCTCTCAGCAGGTTTAGGCAGCTCCAAACACGATGGGAGCCCCATCTCGGGGTGATGTGCTGGTTCCCCCAGGCTAGGATGCCCGGGGACCCTGTGAAGGAGCCACAGCAGGTCCCTGGGGGAAATAAACGCCGCAGGACTGCCCTGCCATGACCCAGTGTGTAGTGCTGGATCAGTTGCCCGGGGCTGGCACAGCCCATGAGCTGGCATAGCTGGAGTGCCCTGTGGCGGTGAGGGAAGCCGCTTTGTGCCTGGAAATAATTAACTGGTTTCCCTGATAAGGCTGCGCTGCCCACGGAACAAAGGTGCTGTCCTGGCAGATGGGACAAGGGGGGACGTGTGGGGGCTTGGTGGAGACTCCTGACTGCTGCTGCGTGGGGACAGTGCTCGCTGAGCCTTCGGGAGCCCAGCCCCGCATGAGGACAGAGCCGTGCCGTTTTGGCACGCAGGGGCTGGGCTGAGTGCGCACAGTCCTGCCCAGGGATCACCCTGCGCCCGTGGCCAAACCCCTGCCCTTGCACACAGGGGAAGGGATGTCAGCACAAAACAAGCCCCTGTGGGGCTGAAGCATCACGTCGCCTCATGCATCCCACCGTGACCAGGACTCCCTGAACCATTCGAGTGCAGCCACCTCCGGCCCCGGTCCAGCGAGCAGCCAGCTCCCTGCGGCAGGGCGGCGGATGGGGATTTGCAGTCCCGGCTCTCTCCTCTCCTCTCCTCTCTGCCTGGAAAACACAAATTAACAGGCTTGAGCACTGATTAACCAGAGCTGATTCTTGCTGCAGTGGCAGCTGGGTGGTGGGAGGAGAGGGGGCACGCGAAGGGCGGGTGGTGACGGAGCTGTCAGTCCTCGCCTGTGCCACTGGGATTGATGGAGAGGTGGGGGGAGAGGGCTGGGGGGGAACTTAGGTACCGGCAGCTGGGAGGAGGGGGCTGGGGGCTGCTTGGATGCTCTGCCTCCCTGCGCTGTGTGAGACGTGAGACGCCAAAACCTCCCGGCTGAGGTGGGAGCGGGAAGGGGCCGACCAGCGAAGAAAGAGGGCCCTTGGAAGCGGTTCGGCCGTGTGGGGCAGCTCCTGAGCTGCTCTGGGTGCCTGTCCCTGTCCCCGCAGCCGGCCCTGCCTGCGCTGAGCCCGCTCCCGGCGGTTCCCGGCTCTGTGCTCGGTGCGGGGCTGAGCGCACGGGTCGGCGCCTGCGGGGCTCCGCTGGGGCTCCCGGCTCGGCGATGCCTCTTCCGGAGCTGCGCTTCATAACAAATGACAATACTCTGCCTTTATTCAGCGCCTTTCATCCCCGAGGAAGCCGGGGCACGCTGCTCCTAACGAGCTGCTGCGTGCACTATTTATAGGCGTCCCCGGAGCGGCAGCTGAGTCCGGCTCCCCGCTGGAGCACGGCCAGGGACCCGGCCCTGCTCCGGGGGGCTGCTGGGGGTCATCCGCTTCTTCTGGGGCGTCGGGGGCGCCCCTGGCCGAGGTTTACATCGCTGCAAATTGACGTGTGTCCGCTCAGCATCGCGCCGTAATCGATGCCGCGGGAGGGAGATGCAGCAGCTGCCGCTGCAGGTTCTGTCTGTGAGCTGGGCTCTGCCTGCCGGGAAATGCAGAGCTCAGGGACAGCCTTGTCCCCGCCGTGTGTCCTCTGTCCCCAGCCTCAGGACAGGTGGCTCAGCCACGCAATCAGCATTAGCATTCCTAATTGGTGCCGCTCGGAGTGTCAGCGCCCGGCAGGGTCGGGGTGGCTGGGAATGGCAGCCCTGGAGTCATCATCTGTCCCGCATCGGTAACAGCAGATGCAGGGAGGCAGGGACCTGGGCAGGGATGGTGTGGTTCCCTGCCCTGGGAACGCTGCCCCCGGGCAGAGGGGAGATTTTGTGGCAGTGGAGGGGTGAAGGCAGAGGTGGGTGGTTTTCCAAGGGCTGGGATACGAGGCCGCATTCCCACCTCAGGACAAACCCCACAGATTCCCCAGCACCCAAGGCTGGAGGGCAGGCACCTGTGCCAGTGTCCTGGAGGAGGGATGGAGCTCCGTGTGGCTCCATGCCAGGATGCACACTAACAAATCCCTCATTGGGAGCCCTCTGCTGATTTCCAGCCTGGCAACTGAATGGTTCCCTCCTTAGGAAAAGCCTCTCCTGGGAGCATCACACATTTCTCCTGCGGCACGAGCTGGCTCCGTCCCTCCCTCCTGCCTCAGCCCGAGCGTGTCATTACCAGCATTTCTCCAGTACTAAAAAAAGCACAAATTTCTTAATTGTTTCCTGCTGGAGTTGAAAGGCAGCTCCCGGGCCCAAAATAGCATGTTGGGGGAAAAGCAGTCGAACGAGAGAGAGCAGAAGGCAATTTGCCTGGAGGGCTGAGATGAGCTCTGACTGCAGCCCTGGCTGCTGCTGCAGTCTGTTTTGCCTGCCCCGAGGGCTCACCCTCATCCTCCTTCTTCCACTTGCTTTCCTTGGTGCTCATGTGTGCTTGGGCCTGCAGAGCTGGTGCCTGGGGGATCCCCTGGGCATCCTCAGGATGGAGGTCACGGCTGATGTCTCCGTGCAGGTATGTGCAGGGAAGCCTGTTCCTGTTGGAGATGTCACTTGAGATCTCTCTTTTAGAAGGATGCTTCTGTGTAGCCCCTTTCTTTCTTTTATTTTTTTATTTTGGGATGGGGAAATCCCTTGGAACTGCTATGACTGATGTTTTAGCCCACCCCAGCTTGGCTGCTGGATGCAGTGTGTCCTTCCTGGCTCCCTCTTGCCAGGAGACCGCTGTCTGCCCAAAACAAACAACCCTCCAAATCCCTCCTGTGGCACTGCCAAAGCCCTCAGTATTCTCCAGCCCAGATGCTGAGCATCCCTGTGCCTGTGTCCCCTCTCCTGGGGAGCTGTGATGGACACCCCACCGTGCTACAGTGGGTGCTGTTTTTGCTGAATCTCATGGGAAGTGGGGGGAATTGGAGTCTCTGTCCCTCCAGTGACCCCTGTGCTGGGCTGGAGGGACCCTCCAATGCATGGGGACAGCTTTGGGCACAGTAATTCCTGCTAGCAGGGCTGCTGGAGAAGAAATTTCACTGGTGATGAGGTGAGGGCTGTTATGTGCCCTCTCAGCCACCCCAGCCTTCACCTCTGAGCTCTGTGCCTTCTGCCAGGCACGTTACAAACATTCCTGATGGAAAACTGCTTACTTTTTCTTTCTTGCCATCCAAGGTAATTGACATCTGTTGGTGTGTCTTTGGTCTCTATTTTTATCAGCCGTTTGCACACTGACATCTCCACTCTCCTCATCATCCCCGCGCCGTTCAGACCTGTGGCTTTTTCATCATTATTTAGACGCACGACACAAGGGAAATGACAAATGAGGCTGTTCCCCTCTGTGCCCACCTGCTGGCACCCAGCTCCCCTGTGTGGGGAGGCACAGGCACAGCTCCTGCAGTGGGACACGCAGTGACAAGTGCCAGCCCTCTGCCCGGCATCCCTCAGAGCCTTTCCTCTGCTGAGGACATTTTTCATCTCAGCAGCTGTCCCTTGGCTGTGGACACTTGGGGTTGTCAGTGCTGTTTTCTGGTTTGTCGTATTTTGGGGGTTTTTCCAGAGCCTGCTGAGGCTCCCCAGGGTGTTGGGATGGGTTTGAAGATGTTTCTCCAGAGGCAGCTGGTACATGGGGGGATGCCAGCCCTGGGGCTGTGCCTGTGCCCACGCTCAGTGTGTCAGGGCAAGTCCCTTCCCTGAGCTGCCTCCAAGCAGATGTTTTGGCAGATGTTTTGAGGGATGTTTTAGTTCTGGGAAGATGAAACAGCAGGGCCAGATCCTCCCCTGGCATGATCAGTTTGTCCCCTTCATGGTCCATAGCATCTTGCAGCTGTAGTTCTGCACTCCCTGAGTGCAACACAAAACATCTTGTGAGTCTCCCTGGTTTCAGGGGTCCCCAGCACTTGCAGCTCTGCCCCCATGGACCACCTGGGCTGGCCCAGTCTGTGCCTCAAAAGCAGTTTCTGCCACATGGGGACCATGTGGGGAACACCTGGCAGCTCATGGAGCCAGTGAGGCCTGGGCATCCCCCAGGAAAGTCATTGTTGAGAGCCCCGGGGTGTTCCCCAGGGAATTCACTGATGGGGAGTGCAGAGGAAGAGCTGCCACTGCAAAAGTACTAAATTTCTGTCTCTTTTTTTCTCTTTTCTCCTGTTTTCTCTTGCAGTCACGGAGAAGGAGGTGCAGCAGTGGTGAGTGCCTGCCATGGTGGTGAGCTGGCAGGGGCATGGGGCTGTGGGCAGGGGACAGGAGCTGGTGGCATTCAGTCACTGAGAGCAGGAAGGTGCAGGAGCTGTGGACAGGTGCACCAGTACTGGGGTGCAGGTGCTGCCTCATAGAGGGGAGACCAGAAAATGGATGAGTTTTCTTGCACACCCTGTGTAAGGGCTGGATTCTAGTGGCTCTTCCCTCCCCATACAAGCAGCCAAAGAACATGGGGACATGGGGACTGGTGTCCTGGTGCTCTCCACGAGGCTGGTGCTGTCCCAGCATGTTCCCTTTGGCAGAAGGGCCTGCAGAGGCTGGGGTAGGATCCACAGTTTCTTGCCAGCAGCACGCTCTCGCTCCATCCCCTCCACCCCACCGAACACAGCGCCCTAGAAAAGCCACTGCTTCCCTTTCATCTCGCTATCCCACCAATCAAGGTTTGCTTTCTTTATCTCTTTCTCTCATCCTTCCCCCCCACCCGATGAGTCATAGCTGCAGCATCGTGAAAAAGATGTCACCGGCACTTCGGTTTCCCACCTCACCACCCCCTTCCCCTCCTCCTCCAGCCCTTGTCCCGCTGCAGCGGGCGCCTGACAGATCTGGGCGATGTTGCATAATATTCACGTAGCCCACGTGATCCCCGTGTGGTCCCACATGCTCCCTTCACGCTCCCTGCGTGTGCCCACACCCACGGAGCCACCGAGCCCTTCCCTGCGCCCTCCGGTGCAGCTGCACTTTCCAGCACCCAGGTCCAGTCTGGAGCTGGAGCTGAGGCCTTTTTGGGGTGTTTGAGCATTGATGGGTTTTGGAAGTAACCTGGGCTGTGCCACCTGAGGACACAGGAACCCCGCTGTGCCCCCCCCCAGCTCCTTTGAGCAGCTTTCACTTGGGGTCGTGCAAAAATTGTCAGGGAATATCCCGAGTTGGAAGGGACCCACAAACATCCTCATAAGTCCAACTCCTGGCCCTGCACATCCCAAGAATCCCATGTCCCTGCAAGTGTTGTCCAAACACTTCTTGACCTCTGGCAGGCCTGGTGCCATCACCACTTCCCTGGGGAGCCCGTTCTAGTGCCCAACCACGCTCACAGAACTCAGTGGTCATTGTGCCATTGTTTCCTGGCAGGGCATGGCTGCAGCGTGGCATCGCTGTCAGTCCTGGCTGGGCAGTGGGTCCATGTCCCCTTCCATCTCCCACACAGTGCTCAGCACAAGCCTGGTTGTGGCCCTGTTGCCACTCTTGGGCTGGCAGCAAGTTGGCCAGTGCAGTGGGCACCGCTCGGTGTCACTGGTGCCACTTGCTGTTTGTCCCCTCTGCCACCCTCCCTGGGGTGCCCGCGAGGACCTCATCCACAGGGCTGGGGTGCTGTGGTGGGTGATGGGAGTGGCACAGGGAGCACCTGGGGACCTTCCCAGCTCCAGGCCACTGCAGCACTGGGGAGGAGCTCCCATCTCAGGGGGGAGACCCTCCTGGGCCCATGCTCTGCCCTCCATCCGCAGGTACAAGGGCTTTATCAAGGACTGTCCCAGCGGGCAGCTCGATGCCGCCGGCTTCCAGAAGATCTATAAGCAGTTCTTCCCCTTCGGTGACCCAACCAAATTTGCCACCTTTGTTTTCAACGTCTTTGATGAGAACAAAGTAAGTCTGGGATCCAGAGGCATGGGCCAGGGCGGTCAGGGCGGGGCCTGTGGCCATGGTGGGATGGATTTGGAATGTGTCTGCCTGGGACTGGAGGAGCAAAATATTCCAGTGCTTCCTGGGGCGTGAAACTGAAGCAGCGCAGCTGGAGCGAGCCCCCACACTTGTTTCAGTTGAGGAAAGTCACGTGGGGAAGGGTGATGAAGTGGCAAAGCAGGAAAGGGGGAACGTGGTGTTTTGGTGCCGCTGACAAGAGCCCGTCCATGCATTCCAGAGCTGCTCCTGCCAGGATGTTCCCTGGTGGGCTGGGCACCAGCAGCTGCATCACAGTGCTGGAGAAAAATGAGCATCACCCCTCCCTCCCTCCCTCCATCCTTTTTGGATGTGCCCCCTCAGAGGGGATACGAGGGCAGGGAGGACTTTCCTGGACAGGAGTGGCAGCAGCACCTTGACCCCTCCTTTCCTCCCCCAGGATGGGAGGATCGAGTTTTCGGAGTTCATCCAGGCACTGTCAGTCACCTCCCGGGGGACGCTGGATGAGAAGCTGAGGTGTAAGTGCTCCCCAGGGGATGCTGGTGGGCTCAGCCCCACGAGGGTGCTGGGGTGTGTGTCCAGGGCAGGGACCACTGTCCCAGCCCCTTGGTGTTGCTCTGTCTTGCAGGGGCGTTCAAGCTGTACGACTTGGACAACGACGGATACATCACAAGGAACGAGATGCTGGACATTGTGGATGCGATTTATCAGATGGTGGTAAGAGGGGCAGGGGGTGCACGGGGTGAGCAGCCCCTGGGGTTCCCTGCTGGACTGGAGCTGGGCTCTGTGGGAATGCTGAAACACCCCCAGTTCCTTCTTTGGCCTTTTTCAGTGGGGAGTTGTGGCCATTGTGGCCAGGGCAGTGTCTGGACCTGGCTGCTGAGGGTGGTTCTAGTGCCAGCACTGTCCCCTTGCACCCTGTCCTGATGTGGGGCGTGTGGGGACAATCCTGGCTTGGGGACAGCCTCCAGACAGGGCACAGAGGGGTGTGTGACCTGGTCCTGTCCTGCTGCTGCAGGGAAACACAGTGGAGCTTCCTGAGGAGGAGAACACACCAGAGAAGAGGGTGGATCGGATTTTTGCCATGATGGACAAGGTGAGGATGCTTGAGGGTTTTTTCCCTGTGGCCAAGGGATTTAGGAGGTGCTGTGGGTCCCTTTGCTGCATCTTGGCTCCTGTAAGAGATGTCCCACCAACACAAGGTCAGCTGCTGCCAGGATCACTGTGGGATACTCACATCCCTCTGGGATCCCTGTGTGCATTTCAGGCTCTCCAAGGTGGCATTGTCCCCTCCATGGCTGCAGGCATGGGTGGCTCTCTGGGGGAACCGAGGCTGAGGCAGTGGGGTGGGGAGGATGTGTGGGCTGCTGTGGATGTGCCGGGGTGAGGCGGGGCAGTAACAGGAGTGTTTTGCAGAACGCAGATGGGAAGCTGACGCTGCAGGAGTTTCAGGAGGGCTCCAAGGCCGACCCCTCCATTGTGCAGGCGCTCTCCCTCTACGATGGGCTTGTATAGTCCCAGGGCTGAGCGGCGGTGAGTGCAGTGCTGGGGGCTGTGGGGGCCCATCTCCCACCTGCCTCGTGCCCTTCCCACCTCCCCCAGACACAGGCAGCTGATTCTCCTCTGCTAAAGCACCAAAACATGGATATCCCCCCCAAATCCAGCCAGAGGGAATGCTGACCCCATTCTGACAGGTTTCTCCCAGTCCTCCCCCTATCACAGAGCCCCCTCAGACTTCATCCCGTGGAGATGGAAATGTTTGTCTGCGGCACAGCTCACGCCCTCACCAGCAGACCTGGTTGCAGAGGAGGCAGGGAGGCAGCTGGCGAGCTGGGGGCACGGGGATGCTCCAGAGACAGATTATATTAAATGTTTTATTTATCTTACACCTTATTATATTATGCCCTGGAGCTGGGTTTGGCACAGCAGTGTCAGGGACGCTAGTTCACAGCATCATACAGATGCTGGGCTGGGCACCCTGTGGTCTTTGCTGTGCCCTGTGGAGCTGTGCAGGGTCCCTTGGAGCACTTTTGGTTATCACAGTCCAGGCAATGTCCTGGGGTTGGGTTGTTTTTTAACCCCACGGGAGCTATGAGATTTTCGATATTATTCTGTTTCCAGCTTTGCCCTGGTGTCACAGCCACAGGGATTTCTGCCCATCCTTCTCACCGTTTCCCTTCTGCCCACCCTCTCCTGCAGATGTCTGGGGGAAGATGCTCTCCGTGCCATCCAACCACCGCCGCGTGAAGCTTGCCTGTCCCTCCCGGCCTTCCTTTCTGTTCCGCGAGCAAGGGATGCCCTCGAAGCGCGAGCTCACTCCCCCTCTCCGCACTCCAGCCGCTGCCATCCGCCAACTTCTGCTTTTCCCACAAAAACCCCGCGCCAGACCCAGTCTGAGCGGCAGCGAACGCCCAGGACTCGAGGGCCGGGGGAACGGGTCGAGCATCGCCGCAGGCAGAGCCCCCTCTCGGCCTCCTCGCCCCCTTTGCTCCCTTCTCCTACATTTTCGGATGGGACTGCGGATGTGCCGGCGGGGTTCTCTCTTGGGAACCGGCCGGCCCGAGACGGAGCCCAGAGGTACCGGGGGGCTGCACCCCCGGGGAGGCCGGGGAGCCGAGGCACCGACGGCGATTTGGAACAGAGTCCTGGTGTCACCCACCATGCCGCTGGCAGCCCAGCTCGGCTCACTAGGGATATATATTATATTATTATTATTTTAATTTTTTTTTTTTTTTTTTGTGAGACAGTATTGTGCTGTTTTGTTTTTTGTTTTGTTTTTCCTTTGGTGGAAAAAAGTGAGGCGCTTTTTTTTATATGCCTATCTCAACGATCGATATCCTTATTTATTTGTTGTAAATGTTGCTGCTGTGTTTTGTCTCTCATGTGTGTGTGTCCACCCACCCAGGTGAGGATTTGTAAGGTTTACATGCTCGTACACTATTGCGGGGACCCAGGAGCCTGCAATAACAATGAAGCCAAAAATCTGCCTTCCCCCTCCCACCCCCTGTATCCCAAGCTCTGTGGGCTGGCTGCTGTTTGGAGGGGATGCTATAGCTTCTTCTCCTCTTCCTGTTCCCAAGTTCCCTGCCTTTTTCTGTTCATCCCTCCCTTTGGGAGCTCAAGGAAGGCTCACCCAGCGCAGACTCTGAGCAGACCAAGTTCCATCCCTCAGCTGGGAAGGGTGAGGAAACTGCTGGCCACCAGAACGTCCCCATTTCCTTCCTTTTATTCATTTTCTCACTGCATGAAAAAGTATTAATGGAGCCCAGAGTTGGGTTTTGCTTCCAAGCAGATTCCTTTGCTATGTTCTGCTTTGCCAACAGTGGGAAGTGTTTGGTGGTGGCTGTGAATCATCCTGTGTGCTGGAGGGGCAGAGGGGGAGCCTTGCTCTGTCCTGCTCCCCATCCCAGCTGGGATGAGGTGACAGGGGACAGCCAGGCTGGGCTGTGCACAGCTCAGGGTGTCTCCTACCCCGTCACTCCCACAGGACACGGGAGGTTTTGCTGTGAACCCAGGGCGTGGCCCCTTGGGGAGCCGCTTGCGCCCACCTTGGCTGGGAATACACATCTGGGGACACTGGGCTGCAGCTCCCCCGTCATGAGCGAGGCCTGCATGGCCTCTCCAAACTCCATCAACACCCAGCACCCTCTGGGATGTGTCCCCAGCTCAGCCCCAGCAGCCCCCACACCGTGGGACGCAGTTGGCATCTCTGCTGGAGAGTGAGCGTTGCATGGGTGATGCCTCAGCTGCCTTGGCCCCTGCTCTGGGAAAGGAGAGCCGTGCATTCCCTCAGGAGCAGAGTGCAAGAAGCCTTTGGGGCCCCTAAAGCCACCTTGGGGCCTCACCCTTCCATCTCTGGTCCAGTTGAAGGCAGCAGCATCTTTCCACCCGGCTGCCTCCCAGCTCCTGTGGCTAAGCCCAGACAGAGGAGTGTCCCCACAGCGGTGGGAGGTGACATCTGGATGTGGAGGACAGTCTGACAGGTGTCTCATGATGCAGGAGACAAGGTGGTGCTCAGTGCTCCCTGAATCCTCCCAGCAGGGCAGCGACAGATACCCCAGCCGAGGGATGCTGGCTCTTCACCGTGCAGCCCCACTCCCCAGTTTTGGGATTTTGTGCTTGTGGTACTTCTTGATGCCCATGAAAAACCACCTTTCCCCATCCCCAAGGAGACTGATCTCACGTCCATGTGCAATATTTCTGCCTCTTCTGCAGTTTCTGCCCCTGAGGATCCGCATGTTTCACTGTGGGGGTGCTTCTGGAGGGTGTCCCTCACCCACTCCCATGGAAATCTCCTTTTCTTCGTTGCTCTGTGGCCAAAATGCAACTCTCTGGGGTAGGTTTTTGCAGTGCCTGCAACTTCCTGAATGCTCATCTGCCAGACTGATCCCCTCCTGGTGCCAATTGATGTTCCCAATGAATGTGACACTGCTGTGATCACCTCTGCTGATGAATGATGGGCCCTGCCACGTTTGACACAGTTCCCAAGAAAAGGCAAACCTCATTTGCTCTGACACTTTTCCCCTGGAAAGCTTTTAATTTTTGGAGGACTTGTCATGGGTTGAGCTCCATCAGTGCTCACAGTTGTCTCCCGAGGGAGTCAGCCCTGCCAGGGCTCTTAGCACACTGAGTGTCCCTGAGCAAAGCGCTTTGACCCCAGTGTTCCCTCTGGCTGCAGGTTTGGGATTCTGCCTTGGATGCTTGCAGTCTCCCTTTTGGGGAGCACCGAGGGCCCCTCATTCCTCCTGAGCACCACCAGGATCTGCATCGTCTTGGTATCACTGAAAATAAGGCTTGGAGCATCTTGTGCTTGGGAATGTTGGCCTTAACCTCCTCGTGCCTCAGTTTCCCCATCAGTGGAGGGGCTGGGGTGAGCCATCCCCCTCTGGAAAGCAGTTTGGTGTCTGTGCCCTGGCAAGCATGAGTGCTGGATACAGCTCAGGACTGCGGGCACAGGGCAGGACCCACGTGTGGGAAGCGCTGGGGTGGAATTCACATCAGCGAGTCTTTAATTCCAGCCTCTCTTCACACCTGCTCGTGATGAAACAGCCAGCAAGGCCTGGTTTGTCTCTGTTCGTACTCGGGTTCCTGGTGCCTGTCCAAAGCAGAGCCCTGGCCGTGGGAAGGGAGCCCAAAGCACAGCCAGGCAGAGGTGAGGGTCCAGCCCCGGTGACTGTGGCATGTGCCCCCCTCTCATTTGTCCCTGTCAGTGTTGCCCCATTAAATGCCATGTCTGTACTTTCCTTTCTTTTCACTTTTCTGTCTGTGTGCTGACTGTTGCTGCTTTGTATCCGTCTTTCCTTGAGCTCTGGGGCTGGGCTGGGCTGAGCTGTTTCCCCCAGGAGCAAGAAGGTGGGAGAGGGCTCTGGGGGCAGATTCCCCCTCTGCCCTCTCCTCACAGCACAAACCAGGACCAGAGAGAGAGAGAAGTGAAGGGTTTTTCCTCTGGAGCAGGCTTTTAATTAATTAATGAAATTTATAATGACACCAGGCTGGTCCCAGGAGCACTGTCATGGAAGGGGATGTTTATTTATGGGGGACCCCAAATCCTGTTTGTGCCAGGTACCAGCTGCATCTCACCCTCTTTCACAGAATGCCTGTTGGTTCTTCCTGTTGGATGTTGGATGGCGAGGCTGAGGTCCTGGGAATCCCAGCCCAGTCACTGCTCCTCAGTGGGCAGGGGTGCAGCTGCCTGGAGGGTGGAATTGGCCTGGAGTCTTGGGATCTGGGTTTGAACCCTGCTTGGAGCAGGGCTGGCTTTGAAGCAGGGCCAGGCATGGCACGGTGGCAGCTGAAATCACTGGCAGAGCTGCCCCCTTCCCATGTGTTTGGGGTTGGGGGGGTCATTTGGGGTGGGTGAGTGACCTGCAGCCAGCTCACTGTCCCCCGTCCAAGGAGGAGATTTGGGGCAATTACTGAGAGCATCTATCACCTGTCCTTCCTGAGGGGAGGGTCTGGCTGGGACAGAAGCAAGGGCTGAGGACAGAGGAGGGAGCTGATGGCTCTAGTGTCAGTGCACAGTTTGGGGTGCAGCACTTTTGGGGTCTCAGTTACGCGTGTCAGCCCTGTCCATGCAGCAAAGTCATCCTTCCCTTCTCTCTCTGCTCCAGTGGCCGCCAGCCCCGGGCTGGGTGCCCTGTGCTCCAGGTGTGACCCTGCTCAGGGGGGTGGCCCAGCCCCGGGCTGAGAAGCAGCAGCTCCAGCAAGAGCCCTGTTTGTGAAGATGAAGCCTGTGTGTGCGTCCGTGCCGGTGTCTCGGCTTGCATGCCCCGCTGCCTTGTCTTGAGATGAATTCAAGAGCAAACCAAGCAAATGAAACAATTTAATAACAGAACGAAACAAAACCCAGGAACTTTGTGACAGTGGAAATAAAAGCTTAACGACAGTAACGAAGTGGCAGTGGTCTGTGATGTGCTGCGCCGGGGGGGTCATGGGGGCCCCCAGAGCTGCCCTGGCACCCAGCAGGGCTGGCAGCTGGGCTGGGGGGTGTCACTGTCCCCTGCCCCAAGCACAGGGCTGTGGGGCACCAGCACAGATGTAAATAGGGATGCTCTGGGCTCTGTGGGCAGGCAGGCACTGTGCCCACACCTGTGATGAGCTGTCAGGTCTCAGCTCCAGGCATCCCAGGCACCCTGCACCCCCAAAACGCTGCTCCTCCCACCTCCTTTCACCCAGACACAGTTTGCCCTCTGCCGGGTCCCATCCTGACACAGTGCCTGCATCCCCTTTTCCTTTTGCAATGGAGACACAGCCATGTGCCCATGGGCACCGTCCCTGTCCCCTCTGAGCCTCCTCATCGATGCAGCGGGCTGGGAGCCGCTGGGTCACTTTTGGCACACAGCGGCTGCAGAGGAATCTTGATACGAACATTCCATAATTGTGTCTCGCTGCCCGGACCGGAGGTGCCCCTTGGCAGCCCCCCCTGCCCTGGCAGGGCTCACAGAGGGGCTCACAGCCTGGGCTGGGCTTTTCACGTGCAGCAGGGTCGCGTTGGCCATTCTGCACTGCCAACTCTTCCGGAAACGAGCACTGCGAGGCCTCCCTGCCAGCCCCTGTCCGTTGTGTTTGCTCTCCTAACGAGGATGACTAATTATTTTCGGGAGGCCAGAGGAGATGCCCTAATGGTCCAAACAAGGAGGCTGTGTTTGTGCAGGGGGTTTTGTCCAGAGGTGCTTTGTGCCAGCACATGGTGGGAGCTCCCAGAGATTTCTCCCCTGTGCCATGGAGTGGGCAAGGACAGGCACAGGCTCCAAACCAAGCTGGTTACCCAGAGGCTGTGCCTTAACCTCCAGCAGGGAAGGGGTTAAAGCATAGGTGCTGCTGGGACTGGGAGCACTGGAGAGTGTGGGAAGGGCTGGCTGGGATTAGTTTGGTGATGAGGAGAAGCAGTTGAGGTTTCCCTGTGCCAGAAGTGCTGGCGCTCCCTGCCAGGGTGCAGGATGGAGCTGGGATGCAGGTTTGTGGCTGGGGATGCTCTAAGGGAGGTTTTGTGGCACTGTGGTGTGGGGGACTCCCCTCAGCTCTGTGGGGCTGGGAATGCAAAGCCTGGGGGAGCACAGGCCTGCTTGTGGGACAGGAGGGGGACAGGCCACTGGCACAGGGGCAGAAGTGTCATTGCCCTGCTGTAAACAGGGGGATGTCCTTGCCCGCTCTGAGGTTCAGCTAAGCTGAGCCCACGCTTGCAGGGACAAAGGAATGCACAGGATGGTCCCACCGTCCTGTGCGTGGCTCATGATCCCCAGGGTCCCCCAGCTCCCGTGTCTGGGAG